AAAAAAATATGAGAAATAAATAAAATGAACAATACAAAATGAAATACTTGAAGACAAAAAAAAGGGGAGGAATAGATAAATAAAATGGAAAGTACAAGATGACATAAATACATAAAAAAAAAAAAAAAGGAAAGAAGTACAGGCTCACCGCTTACACCCCTCCACCCTTCCCCCCCCTTCTCAGTGTGAATCATGTGTTATAGTACACTTTCCTGCAGCATCCTGCACAGCTCATAGCGTGCAGACGTTTCCTGTGACTGATGTACGCTAGTGTGGGTCGCTTGGCTTGCGCTTGTCGCGGAATACTAGGGAGCGGGTTGGTGAAGGGGTTTTTATTAGAGATATCTTCCCCCTGACATTGGAGGGTCGTGGGATGATACCGTAATCGGATACACCCCATGACCCGCAGGCATGGTGTCCGGGCATTGTATTTTATGGATAGCATGGTCGGGGAGAGGGCTCCCTGAGAATGCTCCATGTGGTTCTGCTGTCAGGACGCTCTCTGGGACGCATGTCGTCCCTAGGGTGGGCTGGGTTGGTGAAGGTACGTCTTGCACTTTCATCAACAGTTGGCTGTGCGACCCTTCTTGGTATGGGACATTGTGGACTTGGGCGTCTGGTTTTACTTCATGGCTCGCCCGGCACCTCAGCACAGTGCGCTTGTCAGGGTGGCGGTCCGGTGCCCGGGACCCAGACACTGTCTGGGCGGCGGTGCATGGACCGGGACTCAGTATGCCTGATGATAAGTGGGAGTCTCAGCGTGAGAGTGGATTAGCAGGGTTGGGTGCAGGGTAACCCCACGCCCCCTGGTGTTGAGCACCAGCTTTTGTGCAGCCACATACCAAAACCCTGATGCATCTTATGCGGATCCCAGGAACTAGGAGCTTGGAATTAAGCAGACCTCCCAGGATCTGAATAGGGAGGCTCTGCAGAAGGAGTGTATCCAGTACTAAAGCAAGGCAAGACTAGAGATAGGCACCATACATGAAAACAAGACAAAACTAGGAGAACAGGGCAAGACTAGAGATAGGCACCATACATGAAAACAAGACAAAACTAGGATAACCCAGAACCAGAGCAGGACAGAAAGCAGAACCCAGAACATGTACACAAGACATGAGGAAAACAAGAACATAACATGGGCATGACTGGACAGGACTGTACATGGACTGGGATTACAAAATAAAATAAAACAAGACAAGAGATACAAGGTAAAACAAGAGGAGACATAACTAAGCACTATATATGAAAAGTATGGGGATTTAGTTACATTATATGATCATACATTGCATAAGCCTGCCAACAATGCCAATTTACCCCATATCTGGCAGGTCCTACACTGCCTAATGTTCGCTAAAAGAACCATACTAAACCTTGAAACACTGCTGCAGGTCCAGACTGAAACAAAAGGAAAATGGAAAACAAACGGGTGTGGCAACATAAAACAAACATTTAAATGAATCCAAGAGACTGGGAAATCCAGGGACGGAAAATGAACCCGAAACCCAGCATAAAGTAAATCCAGACATAGAACAGAAAACCAAGAAAAACTAAACAAGAATGTAAAAAGAGTAGCCATTGCCAGAATGATCCACAGCTAGGAACAGGATGTGACAGCGCTTTTGTCCTTTCTTGGGGGTGGGGTCGGTGAGGGGACACGCTGCTCCTTAATGGCCCCCAGCCAGAGGCTAGGTGGTGGTTGGGAATTCACCAACGGGCACGGTAAGTGGGGCCTCGTGCTGTTCCAGTTGCAGGGGGGCCCATCCCATCCTCCACGGTTTCATGCAGGCGATCTGTCGGGATAGGGGACGTGGCTGCTCTCCGGGCAGGACCCTCAGTCCATATGAGAACTCCATCGGGCCGGTTTAACAAGTAAGCTTGAGAAGCTTCCCTTCCGACTGTTTTAGTGTGCCCCTGAAGTCCGCTCCGCAAGTCCCCCCTTTTGGGATATGGTGCCCTTGGAGGAGCGGGGTCGATTTCGCCTGATTCCTTATTTACTCAGTTGTCGTTCCCTTCCAGGGGTTGGGTATGTATTGGCGTGGCATGATGCAGCGGTCTGCGTGGGTGGGACTGCGGGGTCCATGGGTCGATCTCTGAGGCGGCGTGGGGCCCGCTACAGTAAAGTGTGAGTGATCGGGCCAGATGAGAGCATTTCCTTGGCGGCTTCCCGTTCATGATACGGTCATCTGCAGATGGGAGGGTGTTTTTAGTGGACTGAGTACGCATCGGAATGTTCTTCCTTCAGGCTTTTCGCCCATCGACGGTTGTTGTCTTTGGGTATGGTACTTTGGTAGCGGTTGGCTGATTCATCAATAGAATCTGTTCATTCTTGGACGTTGCTGGGTTGACATAACCGGGCCCTTCTGCTTTCTCCTGAGGTAGTGGGTAATGGTTAGGCTCCTAACAGGATGGACTAGGTTCCCGGGATAGTTGGAAATATACCGTTCTGCTCAAGGGAGGTGCCAGGTTCCGACATTTGTCCTTTTTTTTCCTTAGGTGAGTGCTCTTCCGTCCCCTGGATTATTCGGCCTCCTCTCCTCTTGTTTGGTTCTCGAAGACGGGTTTTCTCTCCTGCGTCCATTTCATTGGGGTGCTCCACTTGGGGCTCGAATTCCTGGGTAAGGATGGTGGGGAGTCCAGGGGGCCTTCATTCCAGGTAGGGGCTGCTTCAGGCGCCGCCAGGTTTGGCGCGCCTGCGCCAATGGTTTAAGGGACTCGAATTGTGGGAGTCATGGTGGCAGGTTCCTTAGGTTCACGCTGCCGGTCACCGGAGTTTTCTCTCCGCAGTTGCGGTTTTCCGCCGGAATAGGGATAGTGGGTTGCTCCTACGTCATTTGGGCCAGGAGGCAAGGGGTGAGTGGTGGATCTTACGCCTTCTTCAGCGGAGGTTCGGGGGGTCTGTTACCAGATACATGAGGGGAGTGTGGCTCCGCCCCGTCCAGGATCAGCTGTCCCGCCTCCTGAGGGTACCGGGGTTTTTTTTGTCATTCATCCGGGTGGAAGGACCTGGGTTCAGTGATTGTTTGGGATTTGGGTTGATCTTAAATCTGGACATGTTACGCATTCTGTTTTCTTCCCAGAGGTTCTCAGGGGCTGGGCTGAGGCTATCGCCCGTTCCTGTTGGCGGTGCGCTCAGAAATGTGAGTGCCCTGGTGCGCTGTCGTTGGAAATCGGATGAGATGGGTTTCTAGGTTTGTCTTGGGGGCTTGGGGGATTCCAATTCGTCTTAGGATTTGGCCAGATGTGGCCTAGTTATCTCGAGGAGATGGGTGCGCTTGCTGGAGGTCGGACTAGGCCTATGTTAATCTAGCGCTGCAAGAAGTGGTGGAACAGGCCATGGCTGGTTGTGGTGGGGTCCCCCTCTGATTTTAGGTGTAAAACAGCGGGGTTGTGACAGTGGTATGTCCTTGCCAATTGAGTTTGAGGGGTTACGTTTAAGTATATGGCATGAGATGAACCAGTTTTTAAGGTCTCAACCTCCCCTGCTTCAAACGGTTAACATTAGGTTGCCTGAGGTGCCGTGCTCATCGAGCGTGGATAAGGTTGGCTAATGGCGGGCATTGGAAAGATATGATTTTTATGAAGAGGGGGGAGGTGAGAGGAAGTGGTGATTAGGAACCACTGTATGTTTATTGGCAAGGACGGTTGGGTCACTGTATAACACTATGTGCGGAGTTATATATGTATATATGTTAATTTATGCTTATTTATGTCTGTTTTTGGTTACAGAAAAAAGAAGAGATTTAATAAATAAAGTTATGGGTGTGTTATGCAGTAATTTAGTTTGCGATAATAAATGCTGTGGCCTGTTTCATCCATACTAAGTGGTCTGTCGTTATTGGGGGGTTGAATGGGGTTAGTTTTTGTTCTAGGCTGCATTGCGATTCCCCACTACGTACATACATGGTTTGAAAGGAGAAGTTGTCAAACTGAAGCAGGAAGGGTCGGATCTCTGCTTACTTTCTAGGACTGAAAGCTCAATGAGAGCAAAGAAAATGATCTATATTCCCATCTGGATCGCAATGTTATTACTCTATTAAAAAAGTAAGTTTACACCGTTGATGGTATGACGAGCCAGAATCTTACTGAGGATTATTCACTAAACAGGGAGCTTGCAAAATGTATAGAAATGTAACAGGTGTAACAATGTCAGACTGGAGATATGGAGATTTTTAAAACTTGGCTTCAATTTTGGAATAAAAGGAGATTTATAGAATAACAGAGATCAGTGCATTAGCAGCAAACCATGGGAAGATTATTGTATCCAATCGTAGTTAAGTGTTAGCTGTTTAGATGACAAGTTGGTGGAACTAGAACTGAGATATTACTCCACAGGAGTCTCTCCCTTACATCACAGGATATTGCTGTTGGTTATTTAACTATCAAGAAGGCTGTATACTCTGAGAGAGGAGCTTTCTAATGTGAGCATACCGCTTTTGCGGAATGGTGAAGGAGATACAATAGGTATTAGGTTATTACTACACCTGGCTCACGTGCATTTCATCTACTGTCCCTGATGTTTTGTTGGAAGTTTGTATACAAATTGATAGAATTTTAAGAAAGACATGCTGGCCACTCGATTGAGCATTTTTAGATAAACTTTTTAAATGATCACAATCTATTAGAAAAAATATTTTAAAATTATATATTTACAAAAGTCGGCAATAGCATCTATGAGAATTTTTGTAGCTGAAACATTTGAAAGAAAAATGTTCCTTTATTTGTAAAATATTTTTTTCTACCTAGATGTCTGAGGATATTTGCAGGAAAAAAAATCATGTTAATCAAATATCTGCATAATCAAATCTCTATTAAACTTGTTAAATTGTTTCCTAGGTAATTTAAGTGCAGTGGCCTGTGGAGATAAAAGGACAGTTTGTGGCACTGTGGGAGGAGATGTCGTTCTGCCAGTGAATCAGACTGGGATCAGAGACGTCAGTTGGGTTTTTGTTAAAGGGACAAATCATTTTGCAATAACAAAACCAGGAGGAGATATAGATGTTCGAGATAACCTGTATCAAGGCAGACTGTATGGAATGGCTGATGGGTCTTTAAAATTTACTAAACTAACAAGTGAAATCCAAGGAAATTACAGAGCAAATATATGCACAAACGCAGGAAACAAGCATTGTAAACAACAATATAATCTTCAAATGTTCAGTAAGTATTAGTAACTCAGCATTTAGAGCTTACATGAAAAATCAGTGGTGACAAACCATGAATATATGCACAAAGTCTGTCCGAAAAGTATCGAGCCATGTAATATAAAAATAAGATAAGATGATAGATACAAGAAACATTGTACAAAGGAGGTTCAAAGTAGGAATGTTGGGATCTCGCACAGTTCTTCCAGCGTCTCTTCCACTGTTTAAAATACTCGATGGTCTGAAATCTCTTCCCTTTCAAAGGTGATTTTAGTTTTGGGATAAGCCAGACGTCACAGGGCGGCAAATCTTTCAACAGATTCTCGACCATCTTTGAAGTGTTTGTACCACTCATTGCATCTTCCCCAAAAGCCTTCTGAATGATCCAAATAGTTTCCGCAGAGGAATGTTCAAGCTTAACGTAAAATTTGATGCAGAATGGTTGCTCTATTCGCTCAGTCATTTTGAATGCAGCGGCCACACAGTACACATGTTCACTCAACGGCATCTAGCGCCCCCACTGACTAGTACAGTGAAGTCGTCATTGTTCATGCATGCACTTTCCAGTCCACTCACTTTTGCTGCCCGGTTACATGTCGCGCAAACCGTTCTCATTATATTAACGAAGGCTGGACTTTTTCCAGAGAGACCTCGTATTTAAGGAACTATGTGCTTCTGCCGTTCAAGAGACTGAAGTAACAGAGAATGAAATTGAGACAAGAGAAATGGAATGGCGGAGAGGTATCTTATTCTGATACTATGTACCTAGAGCCTCACTATTTCCATAGGTAAAAGAAGAGCATTTCAAAAATCAGCAGGAAAATAAAATACTGATTAACCCCAAGTCTACAATGTTATTGTATGAGCATTTTCTGTATCTGTTTCAGAAAGATTGACATCTGAAGCTATGGAGATTCTCCCCAATGTTACCAGAAATGGAACCTGTGCTTGGAGTGGTCCTTTAATATATAATTTGTGTAATAGCATGTTAGATTTAATCATAATCATATTTACACAATCTGGTGATGGAAATACAAAGCCAGTATGTAACTAGGTGTTTGCTGTAGGTTATTGAGAGACAGGCCAATCAGAGCATCTCGGTTGACATAGGGACTATCATAGGGTTTAGTAAGGTGTCTATTCCTGATAAATTGCTTAAACAAAAAATCTATTTTTCCTATTATTAATATATTTCATTGTTGTAGGTAAAATATGTGCTAAGAGTCAGAATCATCTACTAATGGAAAATACAAATGTAAAATATCTAAAAATATTAAAAGGACACTAAAGCCACCAAAACAATTTTAGCTTAATGAAGCATCTTTGGTGTATAGATCATGCCCCTGCAGCCTCACTGCTCAATTCCCTGCCATTTAGGAGTTAAATCACTTTGTTTGTGCAGCCCTAGGCACACCTTCTTGCATGTGACTTACACAGCCTTGCTAAAACATCCTGTAAAGAGTCATCTAATATTTACACTTCATTAATTGCAAATTCTATGTAATTTAGAATTTTGTATCACTTGCTCTGTAAACTGCTTGATGCCTGCAGGGGCATCATGTAATCAGGACCAGACTGAGCAGTCGGGCACTTCGGACATGGTCCGAGGGCCCAGCCGAGGTAGGGGGCTCGCCACCCAGCTACTTTGTGTCTGTGACACAGACACACAATACAATTTGCGCCGACCGCTCGAGTCAAACTCCTCCCTCGGGCCCAGAAGTGAAGCTAAGGTCGGGGGGAGCAGAGGAGTACGTTATCCCTGTGCCTGTGGGCGTGCAACGTGCGCCGCCTGCATGGGACACCCGCTATTGAAGAGAATGCTTCATGATCAGGAGCCCGGTCAGGCAACGGCAACAATTCACTGGGTAATGCCCTCCCTGCTTAACAACAAGCCGAGAGAGGAGGGAGCCAGACTCCCATCACACTGAATCAAAAAAGGTATGCAAGGTGGTTAAAATATGTAATGTGATCTGTGTGTGCATGTTATCTGTATGTGTTAGTGTGTGTCTGTATCTGTATGTATGTGTTAGTTTGTGTCTGTGTATCTGCATGTATGTTAGTGTGTGTCTGTATCTGTATGTATGTTATGTATGTGTTAGTGTGTTATGCATGTTATGCATGTATGTGTTAGTGTGTGTCTGTATATTAGTGTGTATGTGTTATTGTGTGTCTGTGTATCTGCATGTATGTTAGTGTGTGCATGTGTGTGTGTGTATATTTATGCATGTTAGTGTGTCTGTAAATTTGTATGTCAATGTGTGTGTCTGTGTATCTGTATGTGTGTTGGTATGTGTATGTATCTGTGAGTCTGCACCTGTGTATCTGTACAAGAAAATACACCCCTGCATTCAAATATCAACACTACATACAGACACACCCCTACATTCAAAGGCAAACAGTACACACAAATACACCCCTACATTCAGGGGCGGACTGACAGCCTTCTGGGCCCCTGGGCAAACTCCCCTATAGGACCCCTTATGTTTCAAATAAGTGTGCATTTTTTTATTTGTATATGGTGTGAGGATATGTGTATGAAGGCATGTTTGTATCTTAGTGTTATAATCATCGTAAACACTGTTGCACTTTGTCCGCGTCAATGCATGTGCTGTTTTGAATATACATACTTCCAGTATTGTGTAAATGCACAAGCAGTTAACTACACACAAACTTACAGAGCTCACTATAGACAGCTCATTGACGCGCACACACGCTCACTACACACAGCGCGCTACAGAAGGCTCACTGACACACACACACACACAAGATCCCAAGCTCACCACAGACAGCTCACTGATATGTACACAATGTCACTACACACAAGCTCACTGACATATTCTCAAGCTCAGCCACAGACACACAAGCTCACTACAGAAAAATCACTGCACAAAGCTTTTGGATACATACAAGCTCAATAAAAACAGCTCACTACACACAAGCTCACTAATATACCCAATCATGCAAGATCACACAGTTCACTACAGACAGCTCACTGACACACACACACACACACACACACACACAGCTCACAACATGCACACAGAAGGTCACTACACAAAGCACACTAGCACACACAAGATCACTGTCGCTCACCCCTTGCTGTGGTTGAAGAGCTGCAAGTTGCTCCTAGTCTCCCAGGTTGTTCCTGTCAGCATGGCCACATGGTTGAAGCTGGGGGGGAGGTGCTGCTGACTTCAGCCCCTGCAGCTTGTTTAAGGGGTGCAGATCTAAGGGAGAAGTTGCCAGGGGGCTGTGTTTTATGTTCATAGAGGAGGGATGGGAGGGGTCTGAGAGAGGAGGAGGTTTGGACAGCAGCTTCCCATGACATTCTGAGGGCACTTCCCTTGATGCCCCCCTTGATGAGTGTTTGGTAAGTCTACTTATTTTGCAGTCACCCTTTGTTTGTATCTCACCATGCCCCCAATTCCTTCAAATTCTCCTCCTCCTACCCAAGCCCTCCTCTGGCGCCTACACTGCTATAATTCCCCATCATACCTTACATTTCAGTCTGCTCAGGCTGACCCCCTGTCATCCCCTGAGCAGCATGTCGCTGTTACCATCACAGCTGCTCCTCCTCCTTCACACATGCGGCGAGAGCTCTGTATTTGTGTAAGAGAGGGATGTGATGTCACTCCCTATCCCCTCCTCTATTCTAACACAGAGCGCTCCCGCTGGGGAACTGGTCTCACTAACTTTGCTGCCTTGATGCTGGGATGGTTGTGGAAATCATCTAATCTTCCCAGACCAGCCATATCTGCCCCGGGCCCTTGACTGCCACGGGCCCTCGGTCCATGACCGATGTGCCCGAGTGGTCAGTCCGCCCCGGCCTACATTCACACGCACATACTAGATTAAAAACATGCTTACAATCAAGCATACAAACACTGCTCCGGCTAAGTACAACCCTGCAAGAATGGGAAAATGGTAGATACCCATCTGGCATAGTATTATGGTAGTTGTACGAAAGATGGGGATCTACCTGTTTTCCATCCTTACGATAGGTGGACCTAACAAAAATCTTACACCAGCACCCACTCTAATTTAGGTCAAAAACTTGAATAAAATACATTTTTAATAGGAGGAAAGGGAATCTGGGGAATAGAGGGATATATAATAACAGACAGGTAAGGAGTGATGCATGTTTTCCCTTGAAAAAGGCAGCTGAGCATGCTGAAACTTTGGGGGTAGTTTTGTGACTTGTGCCTTGCTTGGGTAGGCTATCAGCAGTTGCTAAGGCCAGTAAGATGCTGTAATTTATCAAAAGGAGCATTATTTCTAAGGATGAAAATATAATTTTTCCTTTTTATAAATCAATGGTATGTCCCATTATTATGTCATGCAATTTTGGGCAACTGTATTAAACAATGATATTTTGATATCATAGCACTAGAAAAGGGAGATGGGCTACACAATTAATGAGGAAAGGCTTACAAGTTTAAATCTGTTCAATTTAGTAAAACAGCACCTCAGTGTGATATGATAACATCATACAAATATATTTGGGGCCAGAAATATATCCGTAAACAGGACCATACATTGGGCACAAGGTCACCTATTTAGACTGGAAGAACGGAGATTTAGTCTAGGGCAAAGGAAATAGTTGTTTTACAGTAAGAACATAAAGAATTAAGTTACACCAAAAATAACACTTTTTGCATCAGTGCTGATTGAAGATATAAATCCAATTTCACCCTATAAGAGAAACAAAGTGGATATAGTCTAAACCTGGCAAATATATGGTATAGATGTCAAGAATAATCATTTGATATGTATTGAACAGGTTACTACTACAACAAATTTACAATAGATTTATATCCAGTATTATGCTTTGATTTCCATTTCTTTATTTAGACATTTATTTATTTTTGGCCAACATATGTACAGTATATATTAAGTTTATATATCACTACCATATTGTATTTTTTGTTAGGCAATCCTTCTTTCTGATAGTGTTACAACAGCAACCTGCTTTTATAGTGTAAGGGTTAAAATCATATTATACTTACATTCTTTTATGAAGGGTTAAAATATCTGTTGTAACCACATATTTGTGTTGAAATGTCAGTTTCCCCTTTTCTGTCTCCCTTCTATGTTGGTACATCTAACTAACCACAAAGACAGTGTTCCTGACCAGTTATATCCTAATCATA